ATGCTCAGCATAAATCTTGGTCTGGGCTTTCCTGCTGCCTCTTTCTGTACACTTATATTTTCACTGCCACCATCATCTTCCTCAGATGAATCAAGATCAGTGAAGAATGGAAAAACAGGATACTGATGCAAGCGAATGGATCGTGGTCTTCAGGATCAGCAACCCCAAGACAACAGACGGTTCATTAAGAACACTGGGGTGCCGTGTTCCTCATTGCAATGTTCTGGAGGTCAGTAAGAAGCATGCGGAGAGAAAAGAAAAATGCAAAGCAGTTTTATACGTGCTAAGACAAATGTAAAGGAACTTGATAACAAAGCGTTTTGGCCACGGTAGTCTGAACGTGAGCAAATCTCACAGTAAGTCCAGTGTCTGTTCATTCCAGCACTGCTTTGTCCCGAGCAAAGTTCAAAGCTGCAAAGTGCAAGTTCCCCAGGTAAGACAGCACCGTCAGACGGCTGCCTGATCGCTTGCATTTCGTGAAGGGGACTTAGGTGAGATGAATCATATTAGCTGGATGGCTCCCAGCCTGATCCGACCTTCCAAAGGTATGCAATGTGCTCTTCTTGGAAAAAAAAAGTCACTCACATAAAGAGATCATTCCCATGATAGAAGGGAAATTTAAATAAGAAAGATATGTCAGCATCGATGTTTTGATCATCTCTAGGTATGTCCCAGCACAATACGCTTTGCATTTGGCTAAATTGATTTTGGAGACAACAAAGACACTGTATTTAGCTATTTGACAACATAGGGTCTATCCAGAATTCAAAATTAAGAAGAAAAAATATTAAAAAATACAATGATTCTTTTGTTATATTGCAGCTTGGATTTCAGCACACAATTTCCGGGAAAGTGATTGAAAAACCAAATGGAAATCTATCTTCTGAAGCACCTGGCTGGAGATACTCATTTCCCGTAAGAGGGAGGTATAACAGGACATTCTTGGGTGTCAGTGCCGATCACGCACCATGACCAACCTCCCTGTTCCCCCTGATGGGCCAGTCACACTCACTGCTCTCAGTGCTGCAGCTTGGAAGCCATACAAGCAGTCAAGTAAGGAGAAGATGGGTGAGTTTCACCCCTGGACTGAGTCCTCTGGTTCTGCAAGCTAGATACCAGGTGGCTGTGATAGGCAACACCAGTAGGCTATTAATCATCTGGTACTATTAAACCTAATGATGGTGAGATCATCCTAGATTCAGGAAAATCTCCAGCTGCACCTTGTCAGTACCAGGGAAACGATGCCGGAGGAAAAAATCACTCTGTATTTGGGTGTCCTTACACCCTTTTTTTTTTTTTTTTTTTTTTTAACATAGCCACCATAGACCTCTGTTGAAGAAGGCATATCAGGATAGATACATCTTGGTTTTGGTCTGCCCAGCCATTCTTTTCTTTTGCCTTCTCTTGTTTCGTCCTGACAAGCTAAATTCTTAGCACAAATGACAAAATTGGGCTTTAACTGTGGAGAGTTTATTCATCTTGACAGCTTTTCTGGAGGTACTTTAAGAACTACTGATGCCCAGGTGGCTTTGCTGCAAAGACAGGCATACGTGGAAGAGCTGATGTCAGCTGTGCTGTTGTTCCCTGACGGAGACACAGTGTCATCACCAAAGCAAGCCATGGCCTATGGGAGTAAACACAGAGGCCCACCTCCCAGCAATCCACCTGGGTTCGCTGAATGGAGAGAAATGGGTACTTCCAGGTGGAGTATTAGATGAATCATGTCAGGAAGTGCTGGGTTCTCCCTCCGGGTTGTAGAAGGTGCCTTGTGGGTTGAACTCAGATGGAGAGGTCTATACTGGAGACATCTAAAGCGGAGACAATCGCTGTGAAGTTCAACGAAGGAAAATGTAAAGTCGCGCACCTGAGAAGGAACAGCCCCATGTAAAAGTGTAGGCAGAGGTCAACAACCTACACCTGACCTGTGCAGGCTCACACAGCTCAACAGGACGGCAAGCAGCTCTGCAGACAAGGGCCTGGAGGTCGCAGCGGGTGACAAGTGGACTATAAATCATCAGTGTGCCCTTGCAACAGTGATGCAAACTGACTGCATACTGGGTGGCACCGGCTTCACCGGCATGCCAAGGGAAGTGACAGCCTCTGCATACTCCCTGCTCAGTATCTGTGAGACCACAGCTGGGGACTGTGTTCAGACTGGAGCCATCAAGACTGAGATGATGGGAGAAGGAGCATGGGGAGAAGCTACAGGAGCTGGGAATGTTCAGTTGGGAGAAAAGAAAGTGAATGGAGATCCAATTGCATCTTCCATTGTCAAAAGGGTTACAGAAATGATGGGGTCATACTTTCTTGGATGTATACAAAGGACAGATGAGGGGTAAAGACAGAGACAAAACAAGGGAAATTTTGATTAAGTGTTATGAACATTTTTTTCCCATGAAGGCGGTGAAACACTGGAAAAGGGCACGCGGAGAGGTGGTGGAATCTCAATTTTTGGAGCTATTCAAACAAGGACAGCATAGGACCCTAAGCAATGTGATTGAGTTTCATAGCTGGATCTAACTTTACATTTATCCCTACCTTGCCTGGGAGGTTTGGATCAGATCACCAGTGGTCCCTTCCAAACTAAATTATTTTGTGATTCTAAGCAGCAGAGTCAAACAACATAAAAAAAAACAATGTCCACAAGCCATACCTTGGTAAGTCCAAACTGGAGATGAGGAAACACTTCTTCAACTGGACAGGGCTGAGCCTTGGGATAAGTCCCCAGAGAGGTATGTCACTTGCATCCTAGTTTCCTTAAAAGTTGAGCCAGACAAGCAACAGTGGCCTTGACTTAGCACCAGTCCTGCTGTGAGTGGGAGTCGGAGACGGCACCTCCAGAGGTCCCATCCACGAGCACTGCTGTGATTCCTTGATGCTCCTCCACAATCGCTTATAACATTAAATTTCATGTTTATGGTGTAACAGAAGAAAGGCATATCCAACCTTATGGGTGTTTTCTAGCACGATCATGGTGTTTAGATGTTAAGGGTGATGGACACAGTTTGGAATGCATTGCCCAACAGGTACTGGCATAACTTGCTTTTATTAACAACCAACAGGAAACAATCAATCCTGGCAGAACAAGGGAGATTAGAAATAGAAGTATCCTAAACATCTGAACATGCTTCAGCAAAGTGAATTTGGTAATACATAACAGCTATCTCTTGTAAGAGGCAGTGTCCAATTATGAAAATACTTCCTTATGCAGCAGCAGTGAGTCACTGTGCTTCTTAGGTTGCCACAAAGGTGAGTAGGTTATTACCCCCCTCCACAGATGTGGTTAACAAGGTCATGATTGCAATGCTAGTAATAGAATTAGGAAGCATTTTTAGTCTAACCGAATCGATTAAACCGAAGTCCTAGTGGTTATCCTTGAGACATTCTACACCAACATACTTCCCAGACCTCCTGGCATATGCAATGCATTTAATAAACAAAACATACATTTGTTTTACTGCCATCGTCCAGAAAGAGATGAGAAGCGTCTGCCTTACGGGATGCTCTCCAAACTTTGCAAAGCAGCCGTACTACGTGCAGCCATTTCAAGGATTTTCCATGATTTTAAAAGCACACGAGCTAACTCAGAATGAGAATGAAGAGTCTCAGTTATATAACTCATTACTATTTCCAAGCATACTTAACGGAAAGAACGGGAGTTGTAAAATAATGGATGACGGGAGATGAATTGGCATGTGTATGAATTAAAGTTTAAACAAAGGAACTCAGGCTCTTTCTCAGAATAGCAACATTTTGATGTTTCAAATCCCCCGACACTGGTTTCATAAATGCAGTAACGTAAACCATGTGCTGGGTGGTGATTTTCTGAGGACCTTCCCGCTTTCATTGTGTATTTTATTACAAGCCAAATGTGACATTAAATGCTATCCGCTGTGGCTTGGAGTTAAATACTTGCTCTGTTCAGAATAGCAACACTCAATTAAACAGCATTTTTCATGATCTACACCCTCCATTGTCGCTGTGTTTAAGGGAAATAATGGGTGCACTGACCTACATTGCGCTTCTTGTTATCGATGGAGATGAAGCGGACGCAGGGATTATCGGCGATGTACCGCGCGCACCAGGGCACAGCAATCCGGGTACCGGCTTCGTAGAAAAGCCCCAGAGCGTAGCGGGAGGAATAGCGCACGGCTTCCAGCTGCTGCTTTTGCCTTTCATTAATTACTGGGGAGGGGAAAAAAAAATAAAAAGAGAAATCAGACAATGCTTTTTCTCACCGAATATAAAACGTGTGCGTCCTGCGGTTAAGCTGACTAACCTTTCCTGAAAATGACCTGAAAATTTTCAGATTTTAATAATAAGCCTAGTGCTTTCCTGTTTTTTTTTTTTTTTCCTGAGACATTTCTTAACCAAGTGTTACGGTAGCTTTATGAAAAGTACGTCCTTCCAACACGCTCCCCCCTCATCAAGGCTCTGCTAGCTGCAAGGGATTCAAAACTTCCAAGACAGCGACTCTTTCTCAAAGTCTTTTCCATACTGTGCTCGGCGGGCAAATATTTTCTTGGGGAATTAAGAAGTTGGGGTTTGCCTCTAGCATACAGGGTAAATGATTTTATGCCCTGCTGAAGAAACAAATGACTTTTAACATATCAAATGAATGGATACAGGAAGTTCGAATCTCTGGGGAAGATACTCATATAAGTCCTTCCATTTTTTTTTGTCTTGCAATTCAACTGGATGAGAAGAGACAATTAAAAGACCCCATGGGAATGGCACTTCTGCTACTCCGATACTGAAATACCAGACTATTAGCAGGCTTGTGATCAAGAAGAAGAAAAAGAGGAGAATTTATGCTAATGGATTTTTAAAAAATGCAATAGCAAGGGGGACAACTTGAGAAACTCTCAGAAATGATAAGACCACACCAAAGTTTTACAGTGAAGCTCAGTTCCTTTAGCTGTAGGTGTTCTACGGTAGTTTAGGAACTTTCAGAGACACCCTGAATCCATTTTTTTCTCTGGTTAACTCTGCTATTGTCTAATTACTGTAAGACTTTTTTTTTTTAGTCTTAATATTATGACCTTCATAAAAACCTGTGCAAAGTGTTTTAGTCCCACCGTGCACTTGATGCCACTTTATTTTATGCAAATAAAAATAAATCAGTCCCACAATTCCTGGAGTTAGGTATTACATCTGCATTAGCACTATCATCATCTACATCTCACAGTACTCAGCAAGAGAGAAACACAAAATAAAAAACCAGCCCCACCATGCACAGGGCCAAGCGTGAGCGTACTCAGCAGATGCAGGAAGGTTGTATTTGGCCCACCAAACCCATGCTGGGACAAGGAGATACGGACACATTGGAGACAGTCCAGTGAAGAGTCTCGCTCCACTGAAGCCGATCTCCATCCTCAGGGATTGCCCAGGCTCACCTGGACATGGCCCTGAGCACACTGCTGCAGCTGTGATGTTGGCCCCGCTGCGACCACGGGTTGGACACATTTCTACTCAAGGATGGCCACTTCCCAGCTGCGAGTTTGCTGGCCTGGATGGTAGTGACCAGTCCTGCCCATCAACTTGACCCACACACAATATCAGATACTCTTAATCCAGCAGAACTGTCATCCTAGAGAGGCTTCACAAGTCTGAGATGGGATACCTTGTTTTGGGACTTGTGGTGCAAAGGAGGAGAGCCTAGGTAAGACCACGAAAACATCAAAGCGCCATGAAGTTCGACACACAGGGGACAACAGACAGGTGACAGAGCCTTCCTGAGCCCACCCTGATAGAGATAAGCACTGGTCTAAGTCGCAATCCCCACCACGCGGCGGCTGACCATTTCAGGTGAGCAAGTCTGCTCTACAGGTGTGGATGTCAAACTCACCATGACCAGTTCGAGTTGGCAGCAGTTCCATATGGACACAATCTACGTCCCTATTTGGTGTCATTTACAATGCTTAATAAATTAACCACAAGGCTACTCATGGGCATCTGCCTCAAGAGATCAAGATGCCTCCAAGGAAGTCATAGCAAAGTATGGTTCCTGTTTGTCATGCTGCCGGTCTGTGATTAAGAGGCAGGAACAGTGTGACACGGAGGTTGCGGGGTGCCTGCTGCTGCCTACAACGGCTGCTGCACTAAGAACCATCCTGTCTGTGGAAAGATGACCATGGACAACATGCTCCAGAGAAAAACAGGTTGGTGCAAGAGCTGCTCACCTCTTGCCACTTGACCTTGAGCACGTCCTAGCTGAGGTGCCGAGCGTGCCCACCTCACCTCAGAACATCAGATGTGTCACGGACCTCCCATATACGTGTGTCCTAGAGCAAAGGATACCATGGACGTCCTGCCCTGCGGGGATGTTCCCCAGTCTGTGCTCGATCCGGGGATGTTCCCCTGCCCGTGCTTGTGCCCTGACCAAGCTGTGGATTTAGCAGTAGGGCCGTTCATGCGCCGGCACCCAGGACCTGTTCGGGCAGTGCTCCCGGCTGCCTAGTCCGAATGGCGACAGTAGCACTGTCAGAGTCCCAATTCCTCCTGGCGGATCACAAGGGCACTGGCAGGGAATGGAGCAGTTGCAAAACACCCGCACACAACAGAGGGGATGGATCGAGGCCAGAAACCCCACTGATCTCACACTTCCCTCTCCCCCACCAGTACTGCATGACCTTGGGAAAACACGCTGCCTGGAGCACAACCAACTTAGGGGAGGGATCATATGATATAGTGGCTGCAAGGGCAGGACTGAACTTGATGGCCCAGCAAAGCCCTTCTTGTTTTTAGGCATGGAGCAAGCTACAAAAAGCCATTTAAACAAGACAAGGGCCAGAAGCGATTTCATCGAACTTTTCCATGGTTTTGATTGCATGCTTTCTTCTCAGTGCCTCTTTCCGCCTGTCCCCACACACCTCCACGCCCTCTCACCCTTTTCTCCGCATCTTTCTTTCCTTCCTTTTCCCTTTTCTATTCTTCATCTTTCTCATTATTGAATAGCCTCTCAAAGGGGTAATGCAAATGCAAACTCATGCAAATCTTGTGCCCTTGACGGCTCAGCATTCAACCTTTCCATCTGCCCAGGACGTACTTAGATGTCACTTCTTTCAGGTAAAATATACTGGGTTTCAAAAAGTCCATGGCCACCAGGTCCCTCTCTCATAGCTATGAAAACTGTCACAGTGTGTTATGTATTCCGGCTGTGCTCTTACAGAATATAACAGTGCTACAAATGAACTAATGACTATAAAGCTGCAATATCCCATCTTAAAGCACTATTCTTTGTCCAGGTTAGTTTGGCAACTTCTTTCCCTTTGGGGGAAAAACAAATCAACAAAGCCTCTTTCATCTCGAGAAGCAAATTCCCCTGGCAAAGTTCAGCGCGTCGAAAGTCTTTACACAGCCGAAATAAGTTTGAGATCCAAATCAACTGCCCCTGTCTAGGGGACTGCATGGCCCCGTGGAAGCTAAACTGTGTTCTGCCTTCTGCCTCTGGTCTGCAGCACCAGCATGTGCTGCAGATGACCTGAGCTGTGGATATAAACTTGCCTAGGGGTGGTTTGGCACCAGGACGTTGAATCTACTGAAGCAATTAGTAGATTCAACCTTCATGATGGAAGTATTGCCAAAGCTGAGCTGTCCAGTGGGCCCTGAGTACCCCGCTTAAGACTCGACCTCACTTTATGGACCCATCTTCACAAGTTTCAAGAGAGGTTGGGCTTATTAGGGATGCTCAACAATAATCTGCTCACCCCTGAAGAAGAACCATAGCTTGAAGGGAGTCTGTCCCAAGCCAGGAGATGGACTCAAAGGGCAATGCTGTCACACTGACTGTTCTCCCTCTGCCCCACACATGAGAAGATGATGGACCTCCTCAAACCCATGAATCCTCTTCCCTCTCTCACTCTTGGGATGGTGCCTCTGGTGCCTTCATAATGTCAACTCAACAATAAACAACATATTAATGCAGGTGGATGATGTACATTTGCAAAGCAATTTGCTTAACCCTTACTTTGGATTTTTAGAATAATGTAGGCGGTTCACTGGACTCTAAACTGCTGCATAGTTACAAGCCAGAGGAAGTTCTTACGGCTTCAGAAGACAGGCAAAAAAGTGATGTCAGGTTTAGAAAGCTAGCAATGAAAAACATGAACTATACGCAACAACAGTGCTACGGGTTAAGAGTAATTTTTTCTCCCTCTGTTCCAGCCATTATAGGTTTTCAGCAGGGATAACAAGTTGATCTAAGGACACGAAGAGTGTCTTCATTTTGAATTTCCATACTTTTATTGGATTAAATGAAAAACAGACTGTTGTTTTAATGTGTATGAAACCACAAAATAGCCATTAATTTTTCCCATTCCAGCAAAAACGGTTAAGATGATTTTAATAACGTTTTTTTGGGGAAAAAAAAAACAAACAAACCCAAAAAAACCCTTACAGATCAAGGAATTGTCCAGTGCACAACAAACAGTCATAGCATTTTAAAGCAATGCCTAAAATCATGAAAGTCATATATATATTTTCCATTGAAAACGCCACTAATGCGAATGTCCTCTGGAGATTTCATCACATCAAAGCATGGGGTGTGTATACTTTACTTGCTGTTTCTCTAGACACTGACAGCAGAGTGGATTACGTATCTATAACACTCAATAAATACAGCAAAGGCCTTTTATCTGCTGTTGCAGTGATTTATTGTCACCTCGCTGCTTTGCTCGTGTGTTGTGGGAAGGAGAGGACCTAGAGATCCCACCAGGGCCAAGAGGAAGGAGGAGAGCCAAGGCGGCCATTGGCAGGCAGGGAACATGGGCACGGGGCCATGCAGGAGGCCACAACCGAGCCCAACCTACCAGCTTCGAAGCCGGGGAAGCAAAATGAATCTGGCTGCTCCGATGGCCAAGCGCTGCCGAGGAAGAGCGAGGTATAATCCTGGAGATTTAGTCATCTGAGCAGCACATGAGGGGACTGCAGTGGGCACCCTTATCTGCAGAAGGGTCGCGCTGAAGAAGTTCTGAGCTGAAGAAGCTGGTAACAACCAAACCAACCACTCGGATCAGTCTAATAACCGAAGCAGAGGTTACTCATGACTTCACGGGGGGTTCACAGGTGTACTGCCGTAGGTCACGCTGCTGGGGACAAGGAGCAGCCACGGTCAGAGCGAATAAAAGGATGCCAAGATGTGAGATATGCTAAAGAAATTCTGGTTTCGGAAAGTTTAGCAATTC